CCTTATAGTTGCCTTTGATTTCCCAGACGTTCAGTTTGATCTTACGGCCGACCAGTTTGAGGCTATCGGTGGGCGCCGGGCTATCGTTGGTCGTGTAGTCCATGTTATTGTTATCGTAATTCTTGTCATAAGTCTTGTCGTAAGACTTGTCATAATTCTTGTCATAATTCTTGTCTTCCGGATAACTGTTTGCCAAATGAATGCAAACCAAAAGTATAACAATAAGTGAAATGTTTTTCATTTTTTAACTCAATTTTTGGTGAAACTAATGTCTAACTAATCAGAAATATTGTGCGATATTTGTTACAAAAACCGGTGTTTTTAAACAATTTTATATCTTATTATTATATTTACGATACAATAGTAAAATTCAAGGATTATTATTGAGGATTTTATTATTATATTTTAAAAAGTATTTTCCTATTATATTTTAGACTATTATTTACTTTAAAATTCAATTCATATAAAAATTATTACAAAATTATTATTATATTATTTACTGGTATTATGATTATCAGTTAAGATTACATAACACCTATAATGAATACTATAATATATAGGTTATTAGAATATGATGTATTGCCCAGGTGAGCTAGTGCAAATATGTACTCAACTCATATAATTGTCATATTGACATTCAAGTCATAATTAATTGTATTGATAATATTATTATGAATTATTGAGTTCATAATTTTTAAGTACATTTAAATCCGCTACTAATTGGATAATTATTATAATATATATATATATAATTATTTAAATATGTATTAATAATATGTAATAATTATACATCTTTTGAATTAGCTTAGTGTTGTAGTAATAAGTACTATAAAGTCTTTATCTTTTAAATTATAAATTCAGTTTTATAAAACTATTATAGTTTTACAAAGTATTTATTTTGTTACCACTAATACAAACACTAAACTACCGAAATAAATGATTGCAAATACCAGTAATTAATAACTTTTTTGATTAAAATTAATTTTTATTATGTTTGTGAAAGGCATCTATGAAGAAAATACATGGGATTAACATTGCATTCAAAAGCAATGCATTCAACACTCAATGAATGTGTGATAATTGTTGTGAATAACAATTATTGTTTGTAACTACACTGTAGTAACTACAGTATGTTTGCTCAGAATAACTGAAAATTATTTTTTATTCAATTTAGTATTTTCATAGAGGATATACACTTATTGAAATCAATCACATGAGATTTCATTCAACAAACAATACAATAAAAACTTAGTTATACATTCAAATCAACATATTTATCATATTTTCAATCAATTCTTTATAGTATTATACTCTACTGTAACTAAATTACAGTATAATAATGAAAATTTAAATTGTCCAATAATTATACCTAACCGGCCAGGGATCTCGTAGTGTTAGCCCTACTCCACGACCTCAGCGGTGCCCTCGTAATAATGACTGCCCTTTGCTGCCACTGATTACCCACTCGTACCCATTGGTAGACAACTCTTTGTCCATTAGTTATACCATAAGTTCCGCTAAGTCTTTGTCGATTAGCCAATGAATTAGTCGCTGAATTGGACACTGGATTAGACATCGGATGAGAGACCCGATTAGAGACTGGATTAGAGACCGCATTGGAGACTGTATTAGAGGCTGAAACTGAGGCCGAAGTAGGGACTGAATTATAGACCGTATTTGTGTTTGAGGTCAGACCAGAGGTTGTATTGGATGTTGAATTAGACGTTAAATTGACTAAAATATAGGAGAAATAAAGTTTAGATAAGTTTAGAAAAGTTTTTGTTGTTGTTTTACTGGATCTCCGTAGTCGTGATAAATGTCTCGTTTCAATCAAATAGCCGTTTGTCTTGATTATGAGCTTTTGGTGATTATTATGTTTATTAAGATTTGTTTGGATTAGCGTTGAGTCGAAGTGTAGAAAATCCTTTTCGTCCAAACTTTTAATGCCTTTTAGTTTATGAGTTGTAATCACATCATAATTATCATCAATTTTACAGTTAATTAACTGAATACTGATAAGCAATAGTAGTAAAAAAGTTTGAAACATGTTTTATGATAAATAATGGAAATTTCTTATTAGGAGTTAATTGTTCAAATGTATGAGTGATTTAGTATTTATAGTGTTTTGTTTGTGATTCAAGGATTTGTGTTTTGGTGTAAATAATTATAATATTAACTAAATTGTTAAGTGATTGGCATTTATAATTGCTTGATAAATTACATTTGTGTATTCAAATATTATAGTCTACTAAAAGTACACATGAATTTATTGTGAGATTAAATATTAATATTAAAAATATTGATTCAGTAGTGATATGCTTAAAGTTTTAATATAAAATTGCGAAATTAATTTATTATATATTTTGACAGGTTAGAAATTAATTTGTATAAATATAGTAGTAATGTTTATAAAAATATTAGTTTTTAAAATCTAATTAATTTTAACAAATTAATAATAACATTAATTTGAGTATAAACCAGAAGTAACCATTTTAGTTTGATAATTATTTGTGTTTATTGATGTTTTATCTTGATAATTTTAATCTATCATTTTGTACTCAAACGGTGTTGCGGATTAAATTAATCTTAAGAAATTATATAATTTTAAAACAAATTAGAAAATTTAAAAAATAATTTCGACATATTTAATAATTATAAACTTTTTATTGTATGTTTCAAAAACGTGCTTGCTTATTGTTTCGTATTGCCGCCACCCCTATAGGCGTTGTACACCTTTTTGGCGCCGTTGTAGGCATTCTTGGCCTGCATGACCGCCTGTCCCTGAGGGGTCATCTGAGCCGCCGTTTTGGCCACACCCCAGGCCGCCTGACCCACCCGTTGCATAGTACCCGACCCTATCAACACACAAAAACACATACATTTAAACAGCAATTATTTTGTTTAAATTTAGAGAAATTTGTCAAATACCCTGCTGCCCACCACCACCAGAGCCTCCATTTCCCCCTTGACCTCCTCGGCCACCACCACCTCCGGAGTATTGGCAGTAAATCGCCTCAATTGTGACCAAAACCACGAAAATAATAACTAAACGATTCATTGCGGTGTTTGTAATGAGTATAGTTTGACTTTGCGTTAGTTTCGGCAAAATATGACTTTTATTTTTATAAAGAAAAATTTATTTTGATTTATGTTATCATAAATTTGTCAATTTATATCAAATATGTTTTGTTTGTTTTGCGAACTTATGGATTGAGACATCAATACATCAATTGATTTGTTAATTATAGTTTAAAAGTGACAGCTAATATTAGTGATACAAATCAATTAACTTTTAACATGCTTATTACAGTAATTTAAGTACGGTATTTTAGTACTGTACTAAACATTATATAAGAATTTACGTTCTATGAAATACTCTATTTTGTGAAATTTATTATTTTATAAGTGTACTAGGTGCAAATATAATTATATTTATTAATATTATTCTTATTAGTTCAATATTTAAGATGTAATTTATAATGTTTATTCAGTGATTGCATTTAATTCAAATTATACAACTAAAACATAATTATAAAATATGAATAAATATTGTAATAAACACAATAAATTACTAACACAGTATTGAATTTAATGTTGTTCTGTAGATTTAGTTTAAAAATTTAGTTTAAAAAATTACATTAAGAAATTAATGAAAAATCAATTACAATAATTAAAAACTATTAGTAAGGTTACAAAGTTTAAAATACTTAATGTGTTTGTTTAAGACATGTTCTTAAATTCAATAAATATTATTATTATTATTCAAAGGTGTACATTTGAAATTTCACAATAAAAAACAAATGTTTTATCAAAATATTAATTAGTACAGTACTTTTTAATTATATTAAATTTATTCTTATATTTAACACTAAAAGTTGCTATTTTATTATTACTAATATGATTATTATTCTGACCATAAATAATTACAGGTTTTTGGGTTAACTTCAATTCAATAAATTCTTGATTTTTAGTTTAAGTTTTCAATATTTATTTATAGTATCAGTGAAAAATGACTTAAAAATAAAATTAACTTATTTGCCTAACGTTTTCGGTCAAAACTGTGACCACCATCAGGGTTAAAATGTTGTTTTCTACCAAATTCTGGTTTTATTTTAGGTATCATTTTATTAGAAATGTTTTTATACTCAAAAACAAACACAACTATTGACACGAAGATACCGATATATAATATGGGAAACACACCCATAAAAGTTTCATCTAGTTTAATTGTTTTATGACCCTGGTCATCATTGTCAGAATTTACAGTATTATCAGTCATATTAATTCCCGATACTTCCTGTTTTCCAATGAGTCCAGAGATAATCCACAGAATATTCTGATCCCTTATATCTAAACCCATTTCAACAGTAATCATGAGTTTTAAGTGCAAAAAATCACTCAATTTATGTGTTTTGCGGATATAATACACATTGAAATTGTAGCCATACTTATCGGGAGCCACTGTTACACGTTTGCCCGGTGCTAACGCCCTGATCTCATCGCACCGGCCGGTGTTGCCCACGTACACAGCCCTACGAGCGCGTATCATATCAGCAATGTATTTATCTCGACGGATGTAATGACGACCAAATATATTTCTGCTTATAAGATGTCTGTCCCGATCAGCCCTTTCCTTAATGTTTAGCCACAGTTCCTGTTTATCCGTATGTTGTACGTCTCGATTGTCCAATTGGTTTAATATTTTGATATATTTCTGCTTGCTAAGTGTCTCGAATGTGGGCACCTGGAGCTCGGGTTTTGGCTGAATGTATGTGTTTAACAGTATTCCCGAAAAGCATTTATTGATGACATTACTCGACATAAGCCATACGAATAGCAATGAATACAAAAGGATTTCCTTATGATTGCGGAGTCTCTCTAATCCGAGTCGTGATAATTGGCTCAACCTTTCAGACCCTTGACTGAGGAGTGAACTCAATGTGTCTAATATTACCTTCGCTTCAGTCAACCGAAACGGACTTAAGGAAAGCCATAATAAACATAAGGATACGACACACAACCCCAACAACACCCATATCTATATGATTTTTGGTATTTTTACAAATATAATTATCGTTTCTAAGAATTATACTGTACTGTATATAATTAATTATGAATAGTACCGGTAAATCAAATAAGAAAATAAAGTTAAAATAAGTGGTGTCCTCCTTCTGGGCACTGACTGTCAGTATTTGAAGTAAAAAGTATTGATTTCGCACTACAATATTGCCATTTTCAATGATCAACTTGGTGATTTTACAACGTTGTAACAACACCATATCGCTTGTCTATTAATTAAAATAGATCTCTTGATTAATTCAAATATTAATTTTATATAGCGAACTAACGGCAATAATCTTGTTTTCGGAATAGTCGGGGTGATTTACGATATACCCCGTAAGGACTACTTTGGTGTGTAGGTTGCATATTATGTATTCAATGAAATCCTTTGCAAAACCCAACAGAACCTGTGATTTAATTAAGTTTTAAATGTTAAATAAGTGTTGAATAAAAATGGATAATAATTTTATTGAATAATACATTACTTGCATTCTAATATTTGGTATAGCATCATGATAAAATATATGAATGTGATCAATAAATGTTAGATTTTTAGCGCATTTCATATAAATGTGATTTATATGTACAAATGGTCGAAATTGAGCTATAAATTCAATTATCGAGCTCTTATCAAATCTATTCATTATTAATTACCTATGTATATTTGCATTAATTTTAAAAATAATATTTCAAAAATTGTAATATTTATTTCTCCATACACAATTGAATTGATAATAAAACTTAAAATTATATTTATTTATGTATTGTAGGTAAGAATATTAAACATTTATTATAAAATAATAATAATTCTTAGAATTAGTAAGAATATTCTCATTTGTTTTATAGTTTCTATCAGGGGTATGCAAAAGTTTTGATAGGTGAAATATAGTCAGTAAAAGTTTATTTATTTGTGAACCAGGTAATTTAAATAAAAAAATTTAATAAGAGAAACATCGTTTTAAAGCCTCAATAAGCTGCCTAATTGATTATTTTATGCAAGCACCGGTATCTCAGCCCAGGTAGTTTTTGTAAAATGTGCTATAACTCAAAAACTATCTAGCTCATCTCTGCAAACGATACACCATTCGAAAGAGAATTAAAAATTAGGAAATACATCAAAAATTATTTTATCCATATATCAATACCAACAGGACAGGGAGGGCTGGTAGTTATAAAATATATATCTCAGCCCAGGTAGTTTTTGTAAAATGTGATATAACTCAAAAACTATCAAGCTCATCTCTGCAAACGATACACCATTCGAAAGAGAATTAAAAATTAGGAAATACATCAAAAATTATTTTATCCATATATCAATACCAACAGGACAGGGAGGGCTGGTAGTTATAAAATATTGATTTTTAAACAATTATAGAATTAAAACTATTAGTGATAGAAAAAAGTTGTTTGGTGGAAAATGTGCAGGATTAAATACTGTATCGATCGAAAATATTCTGTTGATTTAGGGCACCGGGAGGAAAGGGTGGTTTTATTAATATTTCTATAAATGGACTTATAAAATATCTAATTAGTGGATCGAATAGAGCTAAAAAACTAACAAATAATGCATTTAAAATTTTTAAAATATCTCCCTATATAACTTTTCTAGGTCATTTCAAAATTCCATTATTAACAATAAATAATAGAACTTTAAAATGCCCTATAAATGTTATATAGTAAGATATTTTAAAAATTTAAAATGCATTATTTTTTTAGTTCTATTCAATGCACTAATTACTTATTTTATAAGTCCATTTATAAAAATATTAATAACAACACCATAACTTAAAAACCATGTTTCTCATATTTATATTTTTTATTTAAATTATCTGGTTCAAAAATAAATGAACTTTTACTGATTATATTCTACCTATCAAAACTTTTGCATACCCCTAATAACCTATATTATACGATTCTAATTTCAAGTAAACTTAAAACAAAGCACCAGTAGTTGTAATAAAATTGTTCATGAAAATAAATAAATAAAAAGACATTTCAACAAAAGTTATACTAGTATTCATTAATTATTAAAAATTAATTATTTTATTAAAAGAAAAATAATTAAAATTACATAAACGAAAATAAAAATAATAAACTAAAAGAATTTAGTGTTTAAAAATTTAATCAATGAAAATTTATTATAACAACCATACAAAACATAATTAAAATCATATAATTATTCAAAAAATATTGCTTATATTTTGTTTGTGTAAAAATGAAGAATAAATATAACTTACTATTATAAAAATATTTAAACATCATCTATTGGATTTTAAATCTATATAATTATATTTGAATACATATAATTTCAAAATAATTTTAACCATTTGACCACGTGTTTAACCATTTCAATTAATATTTAGTAATATAAGGATAGTTTATAAATGTTTGTTCTGTCATTTAGAGTTTTATTGCTCAAATGATCATGGAGATATAAAAAGAGTTATACATTTATATTTTCATAAATATTCATCAAATTTCATAATTACTTAAGTTAGTTATATTACAAGTATTTCTTTGTTATAACTTGTTTATTATGTAATACCGTAAATAAGTAAATTTACATACATATACACGATACAGTATTTGGTATATAATATTATTTCAAGCATAAGAATTATCAGCAAAAGTATTATGTTATTAAATAAAAACAAAAAATGTATAAATTGAGTACATTTTCATATTATGTTTGCAATAATTATATAAATTGTTTTCAATAATAATATTTTCATTTAAAGAATATTCAAACGAATGAGTATTTTATCACAAATTACACCAAAGAGTACATCAATGCATCAAATAATATACAAAATAATGATTACAATGGGGGCAGACCTCCTAATCCCTGTCCAAACAAATTGTGAGCCCCTCCAAAAATGGAACTAGCTCCCTGTCCCAGAGTGTCAGCTCCCTGTTTAAATAAACCCCCTATAGGATTATTAGCCCCATTAGCCCCGGACCTTCTAGAACCTGAACCTCCAGCCCCACCACCAAACAAGGACGAGGCTCCCTGTCCTACAGTATCGACACCTGTTTGAAACAGTGATCCCACTCCACCAAACGGATTGGCAGCACCTAATAGGTTAACAGCACCCAATGGATTGGCAGCACCTAATCCACCCGCCCCTCTACCTAATATACCCGAGGCTCCCTGTCCTATGGTATCTGTGCCCCTCTGAAACACACTTCCTACGCCACCAAATGGGTCACCACCTCCTAAACCTCCAGTTCCCCTGTTAAATATACCTCTAACGGGTTGAAATGCTCCGGATGGGTCAACCGGCTCTTGACTACCGGAGCGTTTAGGCTTTTGGTTTCCCTTCTTCTTGGGTTTGGAGCCGCGAGAGGGCGGACACCGACTCTTGCCGTCGGCAGCCGTCCCGCAGATTTGATTGAGAGGTAAACCGATTACACTTTCGCCATAACTCTTGATCACACGAGAGGTGTATGATTTTGGACACCTTTCCCTCTCCATAGCTATAGTAAATCCCGCATGCAGTCCACTAATACACGCCCTGTATTTGCTGTAACGGCTATTGTGTCCGAAATAATAATTATAATATAATTAATTGTTTTATTATCAATATATATATACATATATAGTAAAGCATTTATATTTATTAAAATAAATAAAACAACTTTGAATATGTAAAACCCTTAAAATAACTACTCTAATTACTTATCACTTAACTTACAAGTTGGTATAATTCAATTAAATATTGTAGAGATTTTGAGTTTTTAATAAATTATTTTATGTAAAGCAAATTATTTAAAATATTCTAGTTTATAAAAAAGTTAATAAACATAAAATATTTTTATAAAATAGAAAAATAATCATTAGTTAATAAAAATAAATTAAGATAAAAGTATTTATCTTCTTCCATCAACTTATTAAAAATATCGTATAAAATAACATATAACTTATCATATTTAAAGAAGTAGACAGAAATAATTTTTGTAATTAAGACCCTGTTCGAATTTATTAACCAGATATACAAAGTAGCATGATACAATACTGACCAACAAATAACATTACCCGCACGCGAGGAAACGGTACTAGGATTAAACCCGGACAATATATTTCTGGGCAAATAATTTTCCAGACAATTACCCACACCGGCAGCCACTATGGCATCGCATTTACCCACACCGGGTAGTCTATAAATTATAGTTGACTTTGAATTTGTTTTATTTTCTACTAGATAACACTTATCTATAATTAATTCAATGAATATAATTATGATTGAAAGGACATATGAGATGATTAACAGAATAAATAAATTTTTGAGAAAGTCAACCAATTTAATTGGATTCTGTCTAGAAGTGGACGGGTATTGAAAACCTGGCTGAGCCTCATTTTTTATACGAGTATCTCTGGACATTACGAACTGATAGTCTTTGCTTTTGTTGATGAAAACCAGTTTCAAGTAATTGCCACAAACTAAACTCGCAAATGGACAAATTATATACATTTCAAAATCAAATATGCTAACATTGTAAGTATAAGCTAAGCATGGTTACATACGCAAATCTTATATTTTTGTAAAACATATGATCTCTGGAAACATAATTAAATGAATACATGAGATAATACTTGTAATCGGACACAATAAAATCATGATTCATGTGCAGCAAGGGTAGTTCATTTGCAATGAATCTAGCCTTGATAACTGAGTCCACCACCAATACAGTCTCACCGGATAGTAAATGATTAGTGTTAATCTCCATGGCCCCCTCTCTACCTACTCGCACATGGTCAATTTTGTAATCAACTCTATATTTTGCCATCCTTTTTATATAATCATCAATGTCACTTATGTTATTACTAGGAATGAAAAAAAAGTGGGTATCCATTAAATGAATGACCCCTCAAATATTATAATTTATTAGTAATACAAAATAAATAATAAAATATCATCTATTACTGCGTGTATCTATTAATGATTTTAAATTAAAAATAAAATATAAAATGAAAATAAAACTTATGTAAATTAATTAAGTCAATAAGTAACATCATCGATTACTGTATATTTTAAATTTATTCACATATAAGTACGCAAAAGTAGTGTGGATTTACATTAATTATTATTAAAAATGTAATTCAGAGTTACAGAGTCACAAAAAATAAATAAATACATCATTTGTATGAATATTAATTATACCGTATAATATACAGTGTATTATATATTTTTAATATATTCTTTTTGTGTCAATCATATTTTTCATAGTATTAAAGGATTGTATTATTATACATTTTCTTATATACGATATACTGTAATAAACAATACTCATATGCTAATTATCCAGTATTTAAGGGAATTAATTAAAATATTTTTTAGCATCTTACGTAAATTATTTTTGATAACATAAGCTCCAAGTGTTGTATATATATTAGGTTTTCCAGAAAGTTTTGCGAGGTAAATTTTGATAGTCTAATCGGATTTAATCTTATTCTTTGTTATCATTATTTTATTCAATAT